ATGAGATGAGATGAGATGAGATGAAATGAGATGAGATGAGATGAGATGAGATGAGATGAGTTTTCAAATAATTTATGTGATAGCAGATCATATTACATCATTTGATACGAGGTTGAAGATTTGAGATGAGATGATATAAGATGAATATAAAATGAGATGAGATTAAATGAGATGATGCCTTTTTTCCTTTTTAATTTTCATTTGTTCATTTTCCTATTAAGACTCGTGCCTTTCTTACCATCTCTTGACTTTTCATTTCCCTCATATGAATCTTTATTATCATCCAGCCTAATCATTTCAATCTTGCTAAAACTCAATTCTTCGTTCCTTCCGCGACTTTTGCTGACTGCATTTTGTTTAAAATATGCATCTACTTTTAACTTTAAATACTTTTTTCGACAGCTTGCACTCTTCCATTCTATTTTTCAAACCCTTTTATATCTTAGCATAATTAAATACAAATCCTCTACTCTTCGCATTCTTCTCCAATTCGCTCTCTTTCCCTCCTTTCCTCTTTATTTATTTCCCCTACTCGCATACCCAATCCGTGGTGTCCACTTCCCCTCACCTGAATCTGATTCTTGTCGCGTTGCATCGCGTCAATATGTCCGTTAATCCGTGCAATCTCCTCCTGTTTGTTGCGTAACCTGCTGGCCAAGTCTTCGGTGTTCTCAGTTAGCCGATGCACCAGACCATCAGCCTCTCGTAACTGCTCCGTCAGCCGCGCCGACAGCGTCTCTTTGTCCTCCATTTGGCGTTGTTTCGACTCGAGCTGGCTCCGAATGTCGTTGTTCTCTTCAGAAATCGCCTATTTTCGGATGGGAAAGGAACAAAAAGAGACGCAAAAGTGAGCCTCTAAAGATATATCTCTCGGATTGGAGGTAGGTTTCAGTCTTTGAAAACGCCGAGTGGGATTTTTGCAATTTTAAGACATAACCGATAATTGTCCCGAAATGGTATATTTATTTCGAGAAAGCGGATTTCGTTTCCGGCAATAGAACTTGAGCTATCACAAATTGTTTTGAGATTAGACAATGCGGCATAGTTGACGTTTGCACGACGAAACGAATAGATCCCACGATTCCAGTCAATTTTCAGCATCAACTGATGATGTTAAAGTCTACTCATTCGGCTACTAGTAGTGACGTCGAGTTTATTGACAAATATCAGTTAAACATGTCGGCATCATTCGCAAGCCTCACTTGTCCGAGGCCTGGCAAGCCTAGAAGGTGAAATATTGTGTTTGATGCATCGACGTAACGGTAAAGAATCTGCTTGACACGCGGGACTCGATCGCACATCCGTTCGGTGGATTCTGATGAGTCCCGGGTGAGGTCGAATCTGCCGTCTGGCCCGGTTGAGAAAAGGGCATTTTGGCTAGCGAGACCCTTGGTTTACTTTACTGCGAAATGTGTAAAATTCCCTTTTTTGCCTCATATAAGAGTGCTGAAGGACTGGTATATGAATTTTTGCCACAATCATATCAGTAGGCCCACCATTTTCGCTGAGTATCACAAAACCCTGCTTCCCATAAGGTAGGATAAATACATTTCATATAAATGATCTACTGGTAGTCTCGAAAACCTACTTATAAACTAAAACTAGATATTTTTCGTATACAAGCAGAGTTTTGCGACTATGAGTATATCAGTAGTATAGGATGTATCCACCCAATTTAGTTTGAGGGGATGAAGGTCTGGTAGAAGAAGAATTTTCCCACAATGATGTAAGTTGAGCTGACGTTTACATTGAATTTCGCATCACCTAAACCAAATTGGGTGAATACATCTCATATTACTGATTTACTGGTATTCACGAAAATTACAATTAATTAGAAAAACATGCACAAATAGTCAAACTAACCACCATAAATATGGAAGATTTAATTTTATTCATATAAAGTTTGTTGCGAGTCTATCATAAAATCTTGAGTAAGAGTTACAGTCATGACCTTGTATGAGCTAGAGTGACTGGAACTCTTATTCACTTTCTGAACCTACTTTATTTGAATATAAGTAGCTCAGTCGATGGTAATAACAAAATACCAATGAAGGTTGCCTTATCGACAATCGAACTGTAAATGCGAAATGGAGCCAAGTTGCATTTGCTGTGGACATCATCAGAGTTGGATCTCATTCCTGTATATATTTTAAAGATCACACAGCGACTACGCGAATGGTGGCTACTTTTGACAAAATAAATAATATTTGAAATTATCAGTACATCCTTTATGGAATTATTTGGCTGAAAAGGAGCATTATAGTTTAATTTATTTGTGAAATTAGCTTATCAGTGCCTTTTACTTGATCCTACGTTCTAAAAATATTTCTCATTTTGTCGGAACTTTAATTTTTGGGTCTTATCAGTACCACTGACAGGAGTCGACTATATTTAAGTTTTCAAAGAGAATTTGGCAACCTGTGGAGTAGTAATCATGCCTGCCAAACAGACCGTAAAAAGTACAGACAATTTTGTTCTGTATCGAAGCCGTTCTAACTTTAAATCACAGGTTTAACAAAGCAGATCATTTGTAAATTCGTTTAAAAAATCAGCTTGGCAAAATCAGCTTGCAATTGAAGATATCCAGGCTAGAATTTGTTGGTGAGCAGTTTTTTGAGACTATAGCCAATTCTTGAATAAAGACTCAATCACTCCAGGTGGCTCCGTACTCTGCACTTTTGTTCCTTGTATCAGCAACAACGTCATTCCATTATAATCTGCTGAGGTTTTTAAAACAGATCTACTCATAACCTAAATAAGTAGTATTGTTAATGGCGAGGGCAAAAAATAACGGCTTTCGAATATATGAAGAAAAACTGGATTTCGAACAATTGCTTGATGAAATATTGTGACATGGCTCTCAATTTTAAAGCAAATTTTGGTTGGAAGGTATTCGTGATGTTGTCTCACCGGAAACCGAAGGAGGATTGTTGCGTTTGGAAGACTGTTGAAACCCAGTTTTTCTTAATATCCTCGAAATACTTACGGTTTTCATTGTTTCCGAATTCGTCATTATATACAGAAACCAAGAAATCCTTGGCCAGGCAAGTCAATCACATTCGTTTTCTGAAAGTTTGCTCTACCCGCAGAATTATGCCTGGATTTTGTACTATTTCTAGACCTAATATACCCTGTAAGAATAAGACAGATCTTTTGGGCGTACGCTATGATTTGGTTGATATAAGACTTGAGGGAAACACTGCAAAGCTACATTCCTTAATCAGAATTAAGACTAGACTTGGGCAAATCTTGTCCGACGCTCTTAGTTCGGCAGACTTCCTGAAGCTCCAGAGTATAGCGGATAATTTACATGACAAGATTTTCCGACTGGTTGGGAAGGCACATGATGCGAAATTAAGAAAATTGGGCAAAAGAATTAGTTAAAGAAAATGGCCCACAGCTAATCAATTGAAGTGTTCGGTAGGCCGTTGCCAAAAAGTGGTGAATCAGTCCAAAATTTAATTGGCAATTTCTACTGAATTGATAAGTTTAGCGGATACTTTCCCAGAGGATGATACTAGGAGTGACATTGAATTACAAGTTGTACCTTTACTTAAAGGTCATGCAGAAATACCATATACGAATAGGACAATTAAGACTATTCTAAAGATGCTTAAGGTGACGAGCAACTAGAAGAGAAAATTTCAGAGGCATTACATAATGACAAAAGATATAAAACTATAATTAGTGACCCGACTAAAGCCTTATAAGATCAGACTTAAGCTTTTCCTGCGACAATATGTCGACATGGAGAACTGGAAATGTGGAAATGGAGTAT